TACAGAGATAAATAAACAAAATGATGGTTACAGTAGAACAATAGATACGCGAGACAGTGCAGCATTATTAGTGAAATATCATGACAATGCCAGTAATTGTGTATTAAATGTAATGTCATTTCCATTAATTAACTATTAGATCTAATTATTGTATGAGAGCACATAATAGAGATGTTTTTATTAGAGGTGGGTCACAATTATCACCAGCACATTCTAGGTCATATATACAATGTGCATGTGAGCATTATACAATGAAAGAAAGAATGAATGAAATAATAAAGGACATAACCACAGTAACTCTCAGAGTAACAAACAGGAACACTTTGTCTTCCTCCTGCCTGTCAGCTCTCCTCCAATCAGAGGGCGCGCTGCTCTGAACACGCCCCTCTCGTGCCGCATCGGGCGCGTGCGGTGCGGTTTGAGCAACATCTGCGGCGCGCGGGCGTTTTTCGTGCGTCTCGTGGGGAAAAGATCATCGATGAAGGCGATAAGAAGATAAGAAGCTCGATTCCTGACAGCGCTGTGTTTGGAAACAGACTGAGAGCGAAGAGGAGGAAGAGGAAGTAACCGCTCTCCTCGTGAGGATGGGAGGGAAATGATCCTCACCTGTGTGGGTTATTGTTTCACACACAGAGGAGGAGGATGGAGGTGAAACAGATGGATGGATGCAGAGACAGAGACGCAGAGTCCGGGGACGCTCCGGTCATCATCGTGGAGAACGAGGCGGAGAGCGTGCCGGTGCACGAGGACAAGTCCGCTTCGATCGGTCACGATCACCTGGACACGTGCCCCTCCTGCCACCTGAACTTCCACAGCCGCGAGCCCAAACTTCTGCCGTGTCTCCACTCCTTCTGCAGGAGGTGCTTGCCCGCACCCTCCAGGAGTCTGTCCGTGACGGAGCTGCCCAACTCCCTGACTGACAGCGCCACCAAACCACGTGAGTCCCTTTGTTTACCAACATCTGCAAATCAGAGGACAGCAAAGTGTAAACAAGAAGTAAAAACTGCCTTTTAGATATCTAATGTGTTGCTGTTTGATTCCAGTGAACGTGATCCGGTGTCCGGTGTGCAGGCAGGAGTGCATGGAGGTGGATGTGGTGGAAAACGTGTTTGTGAAGGACTCGGCTGAGTCTCCCAGCAGCACCGTGGAGAGGAGCACCCAGGTCAGGCAGGATGCACATGGAGGGTGGACTTGTTGCTTAGTTTATTTTGGGATATTATTGACGGACAGCAGACTCGTACCCTCCCTCTACAAGTTACATACACATGACCAGAGGGGACATTCATTCTGATGTCATCCTTGCAGGTACAACTGATCAAACGAGGTAAAAATGATTCCATCTCCTGTCACCTGCCTGTCATCTCTCTGTAGCTCTGTATGACCTGCGATGACAACACGGAAGCTGCCGGGTTTTGCGTGGACTGTGTTGAGTACCTCTGTGGCACGTGTGTGGAAGCCCACCAGAGGGTCAAATTCACAAAGGACCACACCATCAGACAGAAGGCAGAGGTATCATCAGGTATTCTAACAAGTGCTCTACTCTCTCTTGGAATACTTGGTGTTTCTATGTCAAAGAGCTATTATGGGGTCAGTGCTGCAGATGTCCTCGGTTCAGAATAGATTATTTTTAATCAAGTCCATTTGGCTTTATTATAATCTTTTACATTCATACTTCAGTTTTGTGGGAGCCCCATTAAATTCTATGTTTGGCTGTGTACAGGAGACTACAATGACACCATGGTCAGAAATCCTCTAATGAGGCCCCAAACCTCCCGCTTTCTGTCACAAGCTTCACAACTTTAGACGTTGGGTTACTACTGGGGTGGTTCCTTTTTACCAGGGGTCCCCAAAGTCTCTTGACACGTCCCTGCTCATAACCACAGTTATTATTGTTTTAAATGAACTCTAACCTCAACTACCAATTACAAAAGTAAAATATTCCCTTATAATACCCTTGTAATACTACATGTTTACATTCATCTTACTCAGCTGAAATGCTGTACACATTACATTACATGATGTTATTTTCAGGTATTACCAAAACTGTTGCTTTTCAAACCAGTGTATAGTCCAAGCCCAAGTGCCCTGGCAGTGGAAGAAACATATATTGTTTTTTAATACAGAGCCTTGTGTTGTTTTCCAGAGGTCCATGGAGTGTCGACACAGAGGCCGATGTTCTGTGACATCCACAAACAAGAGCCGCTGAAGCTGTTCTGTGAGACCTGTGACCAGCTGACCTGTCGTGACTGCCAGCTCGTGAAGCACAAGGACCACAAGTACAGTCACAATATCATGAGATATCACATTTACACACAGGAACAGCACAGTGGGATTATCATAAATATCTGACATTTGATTTGCATAAACTATTCTGAAGCTCATTATCATGACATTGATTTCAACCATATTTAGTTCTATTATTTACCTTATTTGATCAGAGAGAAAGGGATTCATTATAGAATCAGAGCAC